GGGGCGGCGGGGCGCCCCCCGCGCACACACACGCACTCCCCCGTGCCGGGGATGCCGCGGGCTCCCGAGCCCTGCCGCCCTCAGGGTTTTGTTATTCTAGGGTGGATGTGATGGGTAAAAAAAAAAAAAAAAAAAAAAAAAAAAAAAAAAAATTAAAAAAAAAATTTTAAAAAATTAAGAATTGAAAATATTTTTTTAAAAAATGGAAATAATAATCATTCCACCCCCGCTGCTGGCCCCCGCGGTGGCGGCGGGTGCGCGGTGTGCACGCCGGTGCAAGCACAGCCTTCATGCAGCAACCGGGAAGCGAGGCGGCCAAAGCCGGGGTGGGGGGAGAGGCTGGGGGAGGAGGAGGCAGGCTGCAAAAAAATCACCCACGCCGGGGGAGCCTCATCGCATCCTCTCCGCCGACCCTCCCCAAAATCATCCCCGCTGCCGAGCGCTGCCAAGTCGAAATCGGAAATTAAAAAAAAATAAAATTGAAAAAAAATAAAAAATACCCCAGTCCCCAAATCACCGCGCCCACCTTCACCCCCAGCCAAAAAAAAAAAAAAAAAAAAAAAATTAAAAAATAAAAAATCAGCCCCACAAACCCTCCGGGCTCGGGGCCGCGCTGTCCCCGCCGGCAGCCCCGCTCCGCTCGGGGGAGGGATGCGGGATGCAGGGGAGGGATGCGGGATGCAGCGAGGGGGAAGATGCTCCCAGGCAGCTCCGGCCGCCCCCTCCCCACCCCACCCCGGCCATTTACCTACGTGGGGAGGCACTGCTCCGGGAGCGGCTCATGGCGAGCTCCAGCGCTGCGGGCCGGCCCTGCGGGGCTCCCCCCGCCCCGCAGCCGCACGCCGAGCCCCGGCAGCGGCGCCTGGCCGCGTTTCCAGAGCCGCACGCCATCCTCACCCCGCCCTTCCCCCTGCCGGGGTCTGCCTCTCGCCGGGACCCCCGGGGGGGGCGAGCCCCGCGCAACCTCCGCGCAGCCCCGCGCAAACCCGCGCAGCCCGGCTCAGCCCCGTTCAGCCCCGCTCAGCCCGGTTCAGCCCCGCTCAAACCCGCGCAGCCCCGCGCAAATCCTGCTCAGCCCGGCGCAGCCCCGCGCAGCCCCGCGCAAACCCTGCTCAGCCCCGCGCAGCCCCGCTCAAACTCGGCTCAGCCCGGCTCAAACCCCGCTCAGCCCGGCTCAGCCCCGCTCAGCCCCGCTCAGCCCGGCTCAAACCCCCTCAGCCCGGCACGGCCCCGCTCAGCCCCGCTCAGCCCGGCACGGCCCCGTTCAGCCCGGCTCAGCCCGGCACGGCCCCGTTCAAACCCCGTTCAGCCCCGCTCAGCCCGGCTCAGCCCTGTGAAAGTCGGGGGCGCTCAGGGAGCCCGGCCGTGCCGTGCCACAAAGAACTTTTTGTCCTGAAAGTCGGGGGCGCACAGGGAGCCCGGCCGTGCCGTGCCACAAAGAACTTTTTGTCCCGGCTCTGTCCCTAAACCGTGATTCCTTTTTTTGGGGGGTTTTTTTTGTTTTTTTGGTTTTTTTCCCGTGCTGGCGGCTCAGGCCACGTTTGGGAGCTGCTGGGGGGGACGGAAAGGAAAGAAAAAGAAGCGAGCGGCCGGAAACTTTCTGCTTGTCTGGCTGTGGCTGCGGGGTGCAGGGAGGCAGGGATGTCCCGCGGAGCCTTCGCTCCATCCTCAGCCTCCTCTCGGTGAGTTTCTTCTCGCTAGAACCCAGCCGTTCCTTTTTTTTTTGCCTTCTCAGGGTGACCAAAGCAGAGTTTGCTGGCGCAGGGTTTTGTGTTTTTTGCGAATTTGTTTCCCTCCTGCTCCTCAGGCCACAATCAGCCTTGTTATGTAATGACTGGTGTTATATAAACTCCATTCTTCAAGGAGCAGTCATTAACCTACTACTGGGTATTGAAAATACCAAAATACTGTCACACAATTAAAATCACTAAATGGTGTCCTCAAATTAGAGCATTGCAGATTTTTTTTTATTTAATTTTTAATTATTTTTTTAACCACACACATGAACCATTTGACAGGCCAGGCTCTTCATGCAAAGGAGCAGCAGGGCTGGGAAGGCACCTCTTGCTTCATCCCTCTGCCCTGAGCTGCCTCCTCTTCCTCCCGAGCTCAGAAGTGGATTCTGCCGTGGGGATGCAGAGCTCGGGGAGGATGCAGCCGCTGACTCTGCCTGCTGGGGGAAACAAAAGCGTTCCTGAAGTCACAGCTGAATAAAACCGCGGGAGGGAACAGTCTGAAGACAAGGCTCGGGGAGTTTCGTGGAGCTGAAGTTTTGCAGCCCTCCCACAAGCCGGGCTGGGGCAGCCTCAGCTGGGCTCGAGGCACTGAGGAGAGATTTTTGTCTTGGGCTCGGTAAAGGCATTTCCCTCCCTGTGCTTCTGCAGCACAGGTACCCAAAAATCCCTGCTGTGATTAGTCCTGGCTGCTGGGGATCCCAAAATTCCCTGTCTTGATCAGTCCTGGCTGCTGGGGATCCCAAAATTCCCTGTCTTGATCAGTCCTGGCTGCTGGGGATCCCAAAATTCCCTGTCTTGATCAGTCCTGGCTGCTGGGGATCTCAAAATTCCCTGTCTTGATCAGTCCTGGCTGCTGGGGATCCCAAAATTCCCTCTCCTGATAAATCCTGGCTGCTGAGGATACCGAAAATCCCTGTCCTGATTAGTCCTGGCTGCTAAAAGATCCCAAAAATCCCTGACCCAATCAATCCTGGCTGCTAAAAGATCCCAAACATTCCTGTCCTGACCCATCCTGTCTTCTGGGGATCCCAAAAATCCCTGACCCAATCAATCCTGGCTGCTGGGGATCCCAAACCTCCCCATCCTGATCAATCCTGGCTGCTGAGGATACCGAAAATCCCTGTCCTGATCACCCCTGGTTGCTAAAAGATCCCAAACCTCCCCATCCTGATCAATCCTGGCTGCTGGGGATCCCAAAAATCCCTGACAGGTGACAAACCCCTGGTCCCGGCCCAAGTGGCAGTGCCACACCTGCTGTGAGCCAGGGACATTCACACCTGAGCAAGGACTCAGATGGGTGAGCTGCCTCCACGATGGCTTTGTTAAACTCCTTCCTAACCGCAATGGGTTTGTTAAACTCGTCCCTAATTAATAATTATCTGCTCCTTTTGGAAAAGCAGCCCCCACCCTGCCTGTGGCTCCTGCTCAGCCCCAAGCTGTCCCCACCACCCTCACCCTGAGAGGGGCACAGGTCCTGTCAGGACCTCAGTGACGTTTGGCCAGTCCCTAATGAAGTTTATTTCCCCCCTTTTCATATCCAGCCCCACTGTCACCACCACCCTCACCCTCAGGGGTGCACGGCTCATGTCACAGGATCTCAGTGACATTTGGCCAGTCCCTAATCAAGTTTATTTGCCCACTTTTAATATCCAGCCCCAAGCTGTCCCCAACAGCCTCACCCTGAAAGGTGCACGGCTCATGTCCCAGCATCTCAGTGACGTTTGGCCAGTCCCTAATCAAGATTATTTCCCCCTTTTCATATCCAGCCCCACTGTCCCCACCACCCTCACCCTGAGGGGTGCACGGCTCATGTCCCAGGATCTCAGTGATGTTTCACCAGTCCCTAATGAAGTTTATTTCCCCCTGTAAACACCCAGCCCCAGGTGGGGGTTTATCACACAGCTCACCCACAGGACTCTCTCTCAAACTCGGCCTCAGCTCTGTGCTGCTCACACAGCCCGAGTTTAACCCCGAGCACAGCGAGCGTTTCTGTTCCCTTGGAGTTGTTTCCAACCCTCCCTGACTCCACTCGTTGGGTTTTATTCCCATTTTCCCCGTTCTGTGCCAGTAGGAGTGTTTGTGTTTCCTTTATCACTGCACTCTCCTCTGACCCAGCACAAAGGAGAAGTGGAAGTTGGAATCTCAGCAAATTGGGGAAATCTGGGACCGTGGATCTTTGCACAGATCCAGGAACCCCAAACCCTTGGGAAGGAGCTCTGGTCTGCACCCCTCAGCAGGCAGAGAGCTCCAGCAAGGAGACACCAGAGGGAGAAAAGCCCCCAAATCCCCCAAATCCCCAGTTTTGGTTACACAAAGCAGTTTGGAAGAGGTGCTGGAGGTCCTGGGAACCAGGAGGAAACCCCAAACCCAAGAGGGACTCGTGTGCCCCAAGGGGGAGTGAGCAGGGATCTGCTGCTCTGAGCCTCAGGACGGGATCTGCAGAGGATGGAAACCACAGGAAGGGCTTGGCAAAGGTCTGCCCAGCATAAAAAACAAACAAAAAACCCCCCAAAACAAACAAAACAAAACAAAAAAACCAAACCAAAACAAAAAAACCCCACACACACAAAAAAAACCAAGGAACCAAAAAAAACCCCAAAACCCCAAACCAACCCAACCCAAAAAACCCAAAACAAACCAAAAACAAACCAAAAAAACAAAAAAGCAACCAAAAAACCCCAACCAACCAACCAAAAAAAAAGCCCAAAGAAACCCAAACCAAAACCCAAAAAACCCCAAAACAAAACCAAAACAAAACAAAAATCCAACTAATCAACCAGACAAAAAAACCCAAACCAACCAAAACCCAAACCAAAACCCAAAAAACCCCAAAACAAAACCAAAACAAAACAAAAATCCAACTAATCAACCAGACAAAAAAACCCAAACCAACCAACCAACCAAAAAGACCCAAAGAAACGTAAACCAAAACCCCAAAACCCCCCAAACAAAACAAAAAAACCCCAACTAATCAACCAGATAAAAAACCCCAACCAACCAAAAAAACTCAAATAAACCCAAACCAAAACCCCAAAACAAACAAAAAAACAACCAAAAAATACCCCAAACAACCCAACAACCAACCAAACAAAAAGCCACCAAAAAACCCCAAACCAAAACCCCAAAAAAACCCTAAAAACCCAAAAACCCCAAGCCCAAAAACCCCACTGAATCATTTTTATTTTTCACAGAGTTTCAAGAGCCAGAGAAGTGTTGATAAAACACAACCAGTGCTGGGACTGGAGGGATTCCCCGGCAGGAATTTGCATTTTAAATGGAAATTAAAACGCCCCTGCCCAGCCCATGGAAGGAAATTCTCATTTCTCACTCTCTGAACCTTTCCTGCTTCTCTCCAGAGAGGGAAGAGGCAGCTCCAGAGCTCGAAAATAAATTTCTATTCACACGTTTATATCCCACCCTGCTCCTAAAGGAAAATCCATTCTTTGTCCTGTTTCCTTGAAATTAAATTTTCTCTCAAAATTTCTTTTGACACAGAAAATAGCTCTGACTTTGTGTTTAGCCATTTTCACATCAATGTTTTTGTGGGTGTAAATGTGGATCTCAAAGCAAGAACCCCATAAAATTCTGTATAAACTGGAGATTTCCATGCTAGTGAAGCATATGGAGAAAAAGTTATTATTTAATTTAGAAAAAATATTTTAAAATGATTTTAAAATCAGTAATATTTAGAAAATTCTTTCTATAAATCATAATTTTTTCAGTAATCTGCAAGTTAAATGAGAAGTGTCATGTCAAGATTTCTGATTAATCCTCTGTAAATCCCCACGTGCACAAACCAAAACCCCAAAAAAACCAGGTTAAAACATCTTGTGTGGGGTTTTTCTGCTTTCTATGAAAAAACAACCATAATCTGAGTAGCATGAATTAAATTGAAAATATTTCCAAACAATTACCTCAAGAAGAACAGCCACAATTCCTCAGCTTCTATTTTAAAACCAGACAAACTTAAAGGTTTTTTTTTTTCATTTTTATTGGATGCTTCCAACTTTATAGCTAATAATATACAGATACTCAGTTTTTTCATTGTTCCATTCACATCCTCACAGAGTTCAGCCATTCTGTCACATTGAAATAAAATAATAATAATAAAAAAAAAAAGCACAACTGAAATAAAATAAATCCATAAGCTGGAAAAATACATTATAAACTTATATTCAAGAAACATTCTCTTTATAATTAAAAACCTACTTGTGAGAATTAAAGTAGGATTGAAAGAAAACCTTGATTTGAATTTTTAAATAGGTGGCCTTTGTGGAATACTTCTAAATCATTTCATATGTACAAGCCCAACCAGTATCTCTGCCTGCCTGTGACAGAATACCTGAAAAAAAAATAATAATAAAGACACTGAAAAGGAGTTTTTGAACGAATAAACCAACAAAAAAAAAGATCAATATTGATTTTCCA